GTTAATTTTTCATTATTTTTCTTAATAACTTTCACTGTTTGCTCTTAAATTTGATTTCAATCCATTGAATCTCTTTTTAATGTACCAAAATTCATGTTCCATTCCATTATCATAGCTTTATAACTTTATATAAGAATACGTGGCATATATGAACTTTCCTAAAGATTCTCTAGGATCAAATAAATTAAATTATCTGTCAAATCATTTTCTATATTCTGCTCATTGTAATAATTAACGAGAATCATTTTTGCCTCAATCTTTAAGAACCTCTCCAATCCACCTTTTCTTTCCTGTTCAACAAACTGCCTTACCTCTCACTTTGCTGGCAACCACTTCCAACCCATTATCTCTTTCATAATTTGACCTCAACATATCTTTCCAAATATTTCTTCCACAGTTCATCTTAAGGAAACCTTTACTTCAAACTGGCGTCTCACTGTTCCCCAAATATGCCATGCTCTCTCCAGCCCTACAGCTTGGCACTCACCCTCCTCCTCTTCTCCAATGCTTTTTCCAGCCTCTTCAGAAAAGCCAACCTGTTACCTTCCCTTGCAAGTTGTGGACAGAGCTGTGGATACTTTACTTTTATTCTCCAACTTCCTCCAACTCCATCTTTCTGTTTTCCTGTTATTCTCTTCTAAGCACTCCAAAGACATCCTCTTGTTCCAGACCACGTTGAACAAGGCTCTTCTTCCTTCTCCTTGATGATTTACACACTGCTCTAAGTCTAAACTTTCCATTATTCTTCCTTTATGCTGGCCTTTATCGTGGTTTGCCTTTGAGAGATAATTATTCCTTGGCTATTTCTTTCTCCCTGTTCCTCCATGAGCATCCTTTAGGCATACAACAAGTGGACAAATCTTCCACATGAAATATCTGGGTTACATTTTTAATTCTATACTCTTACTCCCCGGGCCAATAATAGAATGGATCTCCAGAAAGAACATTCAGTTGCTGAATGGAAGAAATGTTTCCTTCCCTATTCAAAAGCAGCCCTTCTGACTAATTAAAGAAATATGTCAAAACAGTTCCCAAGAAGAACCCATATGTCAGCCAAAGAATTAAATATTTTGAAAATGAGAAGAACCATTTGGTCTATTTTTCAATAGAAATTGAGAACAAAGGAAAAGAAGAAAGACAGGGCAGGAATAAATCAGAATTCAAACTGAAACAAATATAGAAATCTCTAGTTGTCATGAAAGGGAAAATTGTGTAAGTTTAGGACTCTGGTGAAGCCCTAAGACATTATGTATATAGCTAAGGTTTTTCACTACATTTCTAACACTTGCCACCAGCTTTTGACCAAAACCAAGTCCTCAAAAAGGAAAAATGGGACTAAAAAGGTGCTGGAATGATGGGCAATACACAAAGCCTTTAGCATGATACAAATACTTCTTTAAAACAGTGTGCTTCAAAAATAGTTGGGGGGGGAGTGGAAACAGTGAGCACTGAAGATGGCAGTGTTTTGTGAGAATGGACTTCATAAACTACAAAGCACTATTTGAATATAGGCTATTTATTACTACTTGACAGGAATGTAGTTACCTCTTACCCAGTGCTGGGTAACAAATGGTATTAAGTGTGTCCCACTACTTCTTCCAAACTTCAAATGGCAAAAGTAGTTAGGAAAAAAAAGAATACTGGGAAGGACTTATTTCTCTTCTTAAATCCATGTTACCCCCGAGAGAACCGGGCTCCTAAATGTCCAAGTAGTAGGAATGAGAGGTACTCAGCAGCAGAATGCTGGGGCAATTTGGCTGTTTCCGCCTTCAAGGATCGAATAAAAATATGTGTTTATAGAAGTGGGGCAGCTGCTCAGCTAGTTTGGATACCCACCCTTTGAGTACTCAAGACTTGCCATTTTCCTTAGTCAACTACTTCTGTAGTCTCTAAGAAGTATCAAACTGGAGAGTAAAAGTATACAGATGTTTTGGGTCCTGAGCTTCCTGGAGACAACAGCATCACTCTCTTCCTTATAACCCATCAGAGCAGTTCAAATAAGGCCCCACCACACTGTTTCCATCTTTGGGTTGTATGCAGAAATGGTTAGAAATTCCTCATCATTGGTTCATTCAATAAATATTTGTTGATACTATATCACAGCAGATCCTGTGGGTGTCAAAATGAGTAAGACAAATAACAAATGTCACATATGTATTACACACACACACTGCCATGAATAAGCTTATCACTTTGTAGGTTATAGGTACTCGCTATTAATTTCCTTCCTCCGTCTTTTCACCTTACAGCTCCATTTTCTCGCTTACCATTTTATAGGGGACAAGCAAACAAATAATTCTCTTATAGTGAAACTTGCGATATTATATATGATATGATGTGAAATGATGTGGTGTGATGTGATATGATATGGAAGTGACAAGAGCAAGTGCCATGTTAGCTGAGTCCTGGCAATAGTAGGCCTGGTGGACATGGGCCAATACAGAGGAATAAGAAGTAATCACAATTCAATGGATTTGCATTTCAAGAAACACAGTAAATATTTCTTCTGGAATCTAAACCAGTTGATAAAAGAAAAGGTCATGTCACTTAAATGCGAATTACTACTATTAATTGCTTTACTTAAAAAAAAAAGGTAACAAAAATCAGAGCAGAGCAGAGAAACTAAATTTTACTAACAATCAAATACAAAAGAAATTCTAAATATCTGTTCAAAACAGGGCTAAGTGAACTATTTCTGAAGCAACAAAAAAGACCCCTGAGCAAGAAATTTTTATAATCATCCTCTTTCTAGGTCGGAACTCTGTTAGAATGAGACAAAGAAAAATCTGGACCTGGAATAAGAGGAAGACGGTAGGAATCCATTCACCACACTGACAGAGATCTGTTTAACAAACAGATGGAGGGCCAGAGTAATCAGATATCACAGAAAAAGGGAATGGATTAAGGGGAATAAATGAAAAATTATGACTCCAGAGTAAAGGGCGAAACATTTTTAGAACATCCACTAGGCTAAGTTGGTAGAAAAGAGAAAAGAAATTCTTAGAATATGATAAAGGAAAGAACCATTTTTCATGTTCCTCCACAAGAAAACATTCAGTATGCTTTGAAAAATTAAATTAGATATTTTAATTTACCTGCGTAAATACTAAATGAATTCTGGAATTTAAAAAAGTCCCTAGTGCTCATTCCACACCACACAGAATGTGGAGGGAGGAACAAGGAAAGCTGCCACGTAAAATAAATGACTTGTTGGGGTTTTCTTTTATTAACCATAAATAAAGGGTGTCTTACAAGTATATAGATAGGATCCAAGAAAGCAAGTGCGGTATTTGTTTGGTTTGTTTTTTTTTTAAGGAACAGAAAGCCATCATAAAGAAAAGATCTCAGGAAGTCTACAAATTTCGTTAAAATATAATTGGACTTGCAGGAACAATCACTGTGCTGTACTGTAAGGGGAGCTGTTGGCACATAAGAGCAAAGTACACGAATGAGCTCATCCACCAGCCTCGGCAAGACCCACTTCCAGCTAGAAGCAGTCATGTTTCAACACCTCCGATTCCCTAATGCTGACAAGCTAAACAACTTGTTTTGTCTCTGGGAGCTCTTCTCTGGTGATTAACTGCTTATGGTGAATACTAATTATAGGAAAGTACAGTATTGAAGAAGTAGTGTCCTATTTCCTTTACCTACAGCCTCGATGCGTCTTCAAATCTAGAAAGGTATTAGGTAGAGCCACTGCAAGCCAAAACCAAGAAAAGTATTTCCCCTCCCCCATGGTAAATAAATGTATCCCGTTCTACTTTTTAGGATAACAGAGTTCACTGACAATAAACCCCCTTAACCTCTGGGCTCCAAACTGAAGAGAATTAAAACAATAAAGCGAGTGTTTTAAAGGCCTATAATAATCATACAGATAAATCTGCAGCAAGAGTTTGTGAATTAGTAACTATCAGTGTCCTCAATTCCCCATGTCCCATGTTGAAAATTTACCCCAAATTGTCAGTTCTTAGGAACTGCACCTCAGATTAAAATCTTCTCACCAGGGAGTCTATGAGAATTTGTTCTTGTGTTTTAAATCCTAAGTGCTTGTTAAACCGCCAACACTGCAAAATTAGAGACCATTAAACAATATAAGGCAGCAAGTGATTAAATCTACCAAATACACATTCAAAGCAGCTTAAGCTACTTTTTAATTAAAAATAAAATATCACTGGCTAAATTCAGATGTCTTAGCTACCCAGAAAAAGTTAGAAGGCTGTTCAAAATGCAAACGCTGCTGATAAGGCCAGAGAGAAAAGGAGAAACAGGGTAGGCGGTGGGCTGGGGAGGCAGCTCCTCTCGTCCTGAGCCCAGGGAGACAGGGCCTTGCAATGCTGACCCGGTTTAGTCAGAGGACGAGAAGAGGGGAGTCATTGCCGCACTACTGGGTGAGAACTCCATGTGGCTGCTGATTGAATAAGCTTTATTAGCCAAAGCCTCAGAGGAGACAGGGTGTTCCACCTTCTTGGCAAGGGGAATGAGTTGAGTAACAGCATGGCAGGAAGCTACAGCACTGGAGATGTATAGATGGCCGAAGGAAATGTTCATGCTATTTTTAAATATAGCTTGCACTACTTGATAAACCATTCTTGAAATAATTGTTAGCATTTGGGGAAGGAGACATGGGGGCTTTTGAGTTAACAGAATCGCTTAAGAGTGAAAGACATTTTTACTGTAAAGTTAGAAGTACATAAACATTGTAGCTTTACATTGTTCCTACTCGTTTAAGGAAAAGAAAAAGGGCCAGGGGCTTAGTCAACGTCGGGCAGGAGGCCAAGAATCTGAAGATCAGACTTAAGGCTGGGATGATATCATTCACTCTGAAGTCTTGATACTCTTTCTAAAGCATGAGAAAATTTACTGGTAAAACCTTACCTCACCCACAGTTTTCTTATTTTTAACTCTATTTTTTTTTTCTCTCAAGAATAATTTTCTAAATCTGCTTTCTGCCTTATATGTAAATGTTATGAATTTACATCTAGCAGGCGACATGGTCTTACCTAAAAAGCTTGCCCTAAAGTAAAGCACAGGCACTTGGTAGCTACAGGAGTATAAGACATGATACTCATATTTAATCACTTCGCTTCCCGTTGTGGTCTCAGTCACTTCAAAATCATCCAGGGGTAGCTCTAAAGCCTCCTGAAAACAAAAACAAAATGTGTGTGTCAATAAAAAAAAAAAAAGTACATTAACACTGAAAGGGAAAGAGGAGGTTTTCTTCTGGCAAAATAACAGTTAAATAAATATAGCACTCTGAGGTAAGGAAAAGGGAGTTTCCAACATTAATGTTTAATGTTTGAGTCCTGGGTAAATAGTAAAACCAGAAAACATTAGCATTAAGTAATTCCAGATTGTTTTTGAGAGACAAAGCAGCTCTGGGTAAAGAAACAGGAAGGAAAAAAAAAAAAAGCAAAGATCTATTGCAACAGCAACTCTGAAAAATCTTTACTGTACAATTTTAGCAACAAGATGATGGCTATACAAGCTACCTTCTTCCCTACCTGTGAAAGCTAAAAACATCCTAACAATTGAACAAGAGGCTGTGAAATGTCCCTAAAGATTCTATTGTACTTGCCAAAAGATGATTCATTGTGTGCTGAACAATTCCCAGTTCCATTTTGAATAAGAAAGTTATTTTGCAAGAGGTTGAGTTTGTTAGGTACATTTCAAAACCTGAGGTGAGTCTGTTTTCTTTATTATTGTGCTATCTGTGGCATATTTCTGCAATAAATCTTGATATTTACAATAGAATAGATGGCAAATATTAATGCCAACTTAAACACGGTTTTTGTAAGCAAAGATGGTTATAGCCAGCTCACTTCCCACTAATCATTCTTTACTGAGGGACTTTTTTAAAATTATTTGTGGGTGTTTCTGAGGAATTTATCTTAATGTTTGGAAGCAATTAATTGGACATGTTGAGTCAGAATCTGGTTCCATCCACACTCATTTATTTGGGTTGATTTGGGTTGAAGAATTTCCTTTGAAATTAAATTAGTAAAAGGAAAGAAGGTTGGTTTGGCTCATTTCTACCTCTCATTAAAACAGTAACAACAATGAACAATAGGAAAGAGTTATAGGAAAGATTTCAAACTTTATCAATACGAAATAAGGTTTCCTGTGAAGATAAGCAAAGCCACACACTACTCTCCAGATCTGTATCTGCTTCACTAATTCCCCACTCACAGGCAATTCACTGGGGGAGACATTCCACTAGATAAATCACAACCGATGATATGTACAAAATAGTTTTCACTAAACTCCAGTAAACACTGTCAATTAAACACAATGAATTAAACAACCAGAGAGAAATCACTGAAATATATAGTCCAGATACAGAAAGTTAATACAGTAGCAAGAAAGAGATTTTTCTGTTTGATTTTTTTTAGGCGAAGTTACCTGTATCTCCTTTAAAAGCAGTTCTTCAAACCAAATTCTTCTTTTTGGTCAAAGATTAGGTTGTTTAGCATCTATAATTTCCTTTCTTTTTTAACATTATAAAGCATTATGTCTTCGTGATAAAAAATCATTGCAGGGGCATCTGGGTGGCTAAGTCAGTAAAGCCTCTGACTCTTGATTTCAGCTCAGGTCATGATCTTGGGGTTGTGAGATGGACCCCTGTGTTGGGCTCCACACTGAGCGTGGAGACTTCTTCAGATTCTCTCACCCTCTCCCTCTGCCTGTCCCCCATCCCTCCTTAAAAAAAAAAAAAAAATCATTGCAAATATTGTAAAAGTACATAAAATAAAAAGTGAAATTCCCCTCACCCCAGCACTTCTATACCTCTGGTATGTATCCATTTTTAATAGGTCAGTGTGTATTTTTCCAGACTTTTAGAATTTTTTGGCCTACAATCACATACACACATATACATCCACCCACCCACCCTTGATTTAATCATGATGTATGGGGGCGCCTGGGTGGCTCAGTCAGTTAAGCCTCCGACTCTTGATTGCAGCTCAGGTCATGATCTCACGGTTGTGAGATTGAGCCCCAACTCAGGCTCTGCACTGGGCATGGAACCTGCTTAAAATTCTCTCTCTCCCTCTTCCCTCTGCCCCTCTCCCCCTCACACACACACACACACACACACACTCTCTCTCTCTCTTAAAAAAAAAAAAAATCATGATGTATATACATATATTCCTTGATTTTTTTGCTTTTCATTCATGGCCATCTTTTCATGTCCTGCCACGTCAATGCTATAGATTTTGCTCTTTCTTTTAATGGCTTTATTGTATTCCATTACATGACTATGCCATAGTTTGTTTCTTTTAGCATTTCCATATTGCTAGATATTTTAGGTTGATTATAATTTTCTGCTGCTACAACTAATACTGCAATACATAGCATATATATCCTTATACACCTCTATTTTTCTGTGGTAGATTCCTAAAGGGGGCATTATTGTATGAAAGATTATGTGCGTTTTAAAGTTCAACAGACAACTGTGAATCTATCCTCAGAAAAAGACTGCATCCATCGATTTATATTCCCAGAAAGAATGTAGGAGACTGTCCTTTCCCATATCCCATAAGTACTTGAACATTATTTGTTTGTTTTTCATTTCTGTGTATTTGATGAATTTTTAAATGTCATTTTTTGGTTTTATTTTTAAGATTTATTATTATTATTATTTAGAAAGAGACAGGGAGAGAGAGGGGGGAGGGGCAGAGAGAGAGAGAGAGAAACTGACTCCAGGCTGAGCGCAAAGCCTGGCTTGGGACTCGATAGATCTCACAGCCCCAAGATCATGACCTAAGCCAAAATCAAGAGTCAGACATTTAACCAACTGAGCCACCCAGGCGCCCTGCATTTTTTGGTTTTAAATTCTAGTTTCTTGATTACTAGTGAAAGTGAACATCTATTAATATGTTTATTGGTAATTTGCATTCTTCTGTGATTTGCCTGTTCCTACCCTTTGCCTATTTTTTTGATATTTAGTTTGCACTTTTCTTATGGAATTATATAAATTCTTTGTATATTAGAAATAACTTTTATAGGATATAGATATATCCCTCTGCATCACAGAAAAACAAAGATGTACAAAGATATGTGTGATATTAATAAGTATGTATATATATATAAATAACATTTTCAATTTTCTTTTTAACTTCGTTTCTTATTTTATCATAAAGATTTTTTTCACTTTTATGTAATAAAAACCGTACATTTTCTCTTTGCAGATTCTGAGTTACCACCTTCATTAAAAGGCCTCCTACTCTGGCCCACCTCACCTTAAAACTTTTTTGAATGTTAAACTTTATTCTGCACAAACATACATTTTTTTTTTTTTTAAGATTTATTTATTTGAGAGAGCGAGAATGAGAGAGAGAGAGTACATGAGAGGGGAGAGGCTCTTCGCCGAGCAGGGAGCCCGATGCGGGACTCGATCCTGGGACTCCAGGATCATGACCTGAGCCGAAGGCAGTCGCTTAACCAACTGAGCCACCCAGGCGCCCCATACATATGTTTTTAACTTTACATTTAGATCATTAGTCCATCTGAATTTTGTTTTTGTGTATGGTGTGAGGTAAGAATTTTTCCCAGAGGATTTCTAATAGTCCCTCTTTTCCCCATTGCTTCTTAATGCCACCTTACCATAAATTAAATTTGTGTGCATGTTTATTCCTTATTCTCTCTTGAGCTATTTGTCTCCTTAGACAATCACTATCCAATTCTTAGTAAATACTGAAGTGGGTCATTAATTTATGCAGCACACTGCAGGTATAGAGTACCTGAGACTCAGTCCTGATAGGGAGGATGAAATTCCTAGAAAGAATCTCGTTCACTTAAATTCAAAACTCAGGCATGCACTGGGGTTGACACCAGGTACTTTGCAGTGGTGATCAACTGGACATAAATCCAATTTCTCTGGAATAGTTAGGAGGCCCAAGGAATAAGAGAGAGGGGACAGATGGAACAAGCTTCCTGAAGAGCCATGAGAAGTCACACTCTAATCACTATTCTCATCAGCAGGAGTACCTCTGTGGGGTTTGAAGGCAGGAGTGTTTGAGCACTCCTCTCACTGGGAGGGCTGCTGTGTTTCCCAGTCCCTCACTCTGGGCAGCTACCTGTGGGCAAAGACATTTTTGCATCCTTAACTCATATTAAATGAATTTGAATCCTTGGCCTGTGTCTGCCAGGATCTATCCATCATTCACAGTGACCTTTATGATGCCCATGCAAATGTCATGCAATTTGGAGATCTCAAACTTCTACATCTTTTCTGCTTCCCATTCCAAAAGTGCCAGATGATATTAGACTAAGGTTCTTGTCTTATTCATCTTTGTACTCCCAGAGACTCTAACACAGAGCTGAGAATCATAGTGAGCAATACTTTCTATTTCAGGAGCAGACCTGTTTCCTTCCATCTAAGTATTCTACAAAAAACTTCATAGTTAATTCACCAGCAACACCATCCCCACCACAAGGTCCAAAAAGAAGGAAATGGAGGAGTAAAAATGCAAAAGATCACCAAAAATGACAAATGGCAAATAAGCCATTAAGTAAATTAAAACTACAATGAGATACCACTATGTATCTATCAGAATGGCTAAAATAACAAATAGTGACACCTTCTAATGCTGGAAGAGATGCAGAGAAACTAGATCATTCACACACTGCTGCTTAGACTATAAAATCATACGGCAATTTCTTACAAACTAAACATGTAATTAACATACAACCCACCAATTACACTCATGGGCATTTATCCCAGAGAAATGAAAAACCTGCACACAAATGTTCACAGCAGTTTTATTCAGAATAGCCCAAAACTTGAAATATTTCAAATGTTCTTCAAAAGGTCATGGCTAACCTGTGATACATCATTCCACATTACTCAGCAATCAAGAGCAAACTATTTTTTTTTGCTTTCATTTTTATTAAGCTTTTTATTTTAATTCCAATATAGTTAACATACAGTGTTATTTTAGTTTCAGGTGTACAAAATAGTGATTCAACAATTATCTACATTACTCACTGCTTTTCATAATGAGCATACTCTTTAATCCCCATCAACTATTTCACCCACTTCCCCTCTGGTAATCAGTTTGTTCTCTATAGTTAAGAGTCTGTTTCTTGGTTTGTGTGTGTATCTCTCTCTTTTTTCCTTTTGTTTATTTGGTTTCTAAAAT